CACAACTATGGCGGGTGCCTACGTACCACCCGACCTTACGGCGTTCATTAGATCCCGTTGTGGTCTGCTTTGCCAGGGTGTTGTCTGATTTCCGGTGAGGATAGGATAGTGATAAATTGTGTATTATAAGTCTTGTAGAACCATCGAAAAAAGAACGTGGATATCGATAAATTCTGGAATGAAGTTGAAGATCGAGATGGTACACTACGCCTTGTTCAAAAAGTCCAATGGTGAATAATCAGGAGGGCGAACCGAAACCAAAGAGACGGGCTAAGACTGATGATAAGTCTTGCACTTCATCTGCCGGAACTAGTGATGATATGGTCGATGACATAAATGATATGATTCTGTTTATGTATTTTTTTCTTTTTATTTTCGGCTCAGCCGATTGATATTAATTTACAAAATACAAGAGTGTGGATGACGAGTACGAAGAATCCGAAGAAATTAGGTTCGAAGATATACATCGATCAAGGGAATAACCTGTAAGTATTTTTTTATCAAAATAAACTGCAAGAATGATTTCGCTAAATCAATAACCGTTTATAGTTCATTTTCAAAACAAAAAATATATCGTCACTATTTGAGTCATATCGATCCAAGGCGTTAGCTCATGCGCAAAATTATGGTTTGATAATGACGAAAAATTATCACGAAATATTGTAGGTAGAACTTTTAAATGGAATGTCTTTAACTTTACTGATGGAGGTTGATTAATTTTTTTGAAAATTCAGGAGTCTATCCCGTATTCTTTTACTACAAATGGATGATAATTATTCGGAAACGCAAGTAAAAACGTTCTCTAGGGAAACGCTCGAAGATCTCAGAAAGGATATTAAATCAAGAGTTAATCAGAAAAAAAAAAGTAATAAGGAACATAAAATCAATCCTACAAGAGTACATTGAGGTTCGTATTTTTCTATTAGCATCATTCTTTTGCAATGTTCCCTTTATTGACTATCTTGCTTAGTTCTCTCTTGACGATAATGATGATGGATTACATGAACTTAGCGAAACCATCACTGAATCTTTTTTGAAAGAATTTAATTCAACAGCAGAGAAAGAAATTCTTCGACGAATGAAGTTCTCTTTGAACATATGTAATTTTTGATATCTTTTATTTAAGCAACTTTTCGAAATGACTTAAGATTGTAAGTTTTTAACAAAGTTAAATTAGAAGTTTTTTCTTGTGCAATCTTTGCTAATAATGAATAGTATTTAATCTATTGTATAAATAAACTATATAATAAAATAATATGACTTTTGCACTTAATATTTCTAAAAAAAAATTTTTACATTTAATTTAATTTTTTTTTTATAATTAAACAAAGGTTTTAAATATATTAAATTTGTTTTTATAAAAAAAATTATTAATATTAATTTTTAAAAAACTTTTTCTATATACAATATTTTTTTAAAAATTAAAGAAACAACTATTTTTTCCTTTATCTTTCAATACTCAGAAATTTTATATATTTATTATAAGAATTTTAAAATAACTAAAGAATATATTGATACATTAGAATAAAATCTCTAATTAAAAAAAGCAAGTTTATAAATCTTATTTCTTTTTTAAATTATATAAGAAAAAACTTATAGCAATTATTTTTTTATATAAATCTTTTTTGAAAGTTTTTATATTTTTATTTATTGTTAATATATACTTTACTGAAAGTGCTTATTTTTTTGCTATTCCACCACTGAAACTTTACCAAATCGC